AATACACCTCTGCTTTAACTTACGGGGTTTCCAGCATGACTTTACAGACACTTGTCATCGTACTGAGGCAGTCTGTGGTGTTCTCTATTGGCAGGGTTTTGTTCTAAATGGGAGACACAAATGTTAGCCATTTTAGCAGCTTTCATGTGCAATTAAGTCAAAAAGCACCTCGTTGCTCAACTTCACTTACTTCAGAGACAAAGTGCATTGTGGCGTTGCTAAGGGTTTTCAGCATTGGTGTGGCTTCTGCATAGAAGAGGGACATCCGATTGGCCATCTCATTATTGACTTCATTCTCAATGTCTAGCTGATGAAAATAACAAGAGCAGATGCAATTATAAAGAGAAAGTTAAAATCCCAAAATACTCTTATCTGGAAATTGAATGAAAGGCAAGGACTGTGCTTCTCTCCATGCCCTGCCTGATGCAGAAATCAAAAGTGCCACAAAGAAGGGTGCAAAGGTCAAGGAGACCCAGGGACTCACATGCATGTTGTTGATGCGGTTGCGACTTATCGTTCTTCGGTAGTAGCTAAAGTCATTCTGAATGGCTGGGTTCCTCATCTGAAATCCAGAGGAGAGCAAAGGTCATTTCTCAGCATCGGACGGGGTGTATGCACTATAAGCCTAGACCCCAGATCTTGTAAATATGCCTGGACTTTTCTTTGTTCCGCAAGAGTCAAAGCAACTTCTGGTTAATAATAAGGACCCTTAGCTTCATTATTTTAACGTATGCCCTGTTTTTGCTGTGGGCTAGATTTCAGGAAACGTGTAATTGTTCTCAATGAGGATCAGACACTTGGAAGGGTTTTCTCTAATTTCATTTGGCAGATTTTGAATTTCCATATACAAATCATCCTGTTAAATTACGTTGACCGCATGGAATGCAAATTCTCACCGCGTTAAATGTCTCTCTGGGTAAGGAGCTATATCTTCCTCATCTATCTCCCACCCCACAGCACTTGCAGAACTGTAAAGTTTCATAGCATATTTGGCCTAACCTTCAGCTCATCGAATCGGAGAGTAAAATGTAAAATTTCTGCAAACTCCTTTGCCAGGGCCTGCTCCCGTTCCAGGTGTTGGGTTGGTGTGTAGGGCGGACAAGTCAGAGATTCCAATAAACTCTGAAGAGCTTTTTCTGAAAGTCAAAGGAATAAATATGTATATTTGTGGTGGCCCACAGAGATCCTTCCAAAAACACAATTCTCAGTCCCAACTGACAATCTCAGAAATAACCTGCAGGGATTCTTTCTTTCCGTGTCTTCACCCAAAACCGTGTAAGATGTGACATGTGT